TGGGGTTTGGGGGAAATCCCCCCATTCCTGGTAGTAAAAATACAGTAACTAAATGAATAGCTTAATGGTTTCTTGTCTTTTCATGGTATCCCAAAACTGCAGCTTGAGCCTGCCACCTGCCTCTGCCTAATGGTATAGCCATCATGCTTGGTATGGTAGCTCCTGTTGTCTTTTAGGAATTAACCAACAGGATACTTTTATTAGTAGCTGATTCCAACAAGCGCTTCCAGTGCATAAAAGGGACAAATATGGACTGTTGGCATGACTGTGTGCATTTATTTTTGCAATTACAGTAACTTATGTGCAATTTAGTTTAAGAATTCATTGTCCGGTAACTAATACAACCGCATGCATTGCACAGCATGCTCTCGCTAACTTAGAAAATGGTCCCCCTGCTCAACAAAAGTCTACATGATTACCCACCGAAATATTCCAGACTACATGATGCTCACATACTGTGATTAACCTTTATATATGAATAGTTATACCAGAGTGAAAACGAAAGGAGGTGGGGAACCATGTATCAATTATAAAGGGATGGCTACTGGACTTCAAACCTGCCTGAATAAATTGAGTTAAGGTACCTATTTTGTGAGTGTTGTAATCTGCAAGCAGAGCTCTGAATGAGGATGAAAATTATTTCTGACACTGATGTGGGTGTGTGCATGAGTGTGCATGTACACTTGTGTGGAGTGACAAAAATTCAGAATTATTGATTGTGGTATATTTCTCTGCGTCTTATATGATGCATATTTGTACTAAATTAGGGTTGGATTTTTGACACCTCTGTGTGTGATATAGCTTTATTACCCTATGTATCGTGATTGGTTTGCTGGCAATTTTGATGTTTGGGGTATGACAGGAGGCTTTTTGGTGCTAGAGTTGTATTTTTTTTATCATGATTGCTTGCCATTCCTCTTCTTTCCAAGCAGGACAGAGATAGTACCATATTGAACAGCTGATAAAAACAAGTCTTGCCATAGTGGTTCTCTGAATTTCTGTTCTTCTTTTAAAAAATGAAGACAATTTATGATCAGTTTTTTCTTCACTTTTGATCAACTCTGCTAAATTTCTATTTTAAAGTATCTTGGCAGGCACTCCAAAAATCATTAATTGTCTCCACTCTCCACACACCCTTCCACAGAGTGAAGACAATACTAGAGCTTACCTACAACAGTTGTAATTCTCTGCACCAGCTCTTTTTCCTCAGCAGAAGCTGTAGGCAGAGGGACTGGGAGGTGAAGAAGTGATAAGAGAAAGGAAGAGAGTGTCCCTCATGCCTTTGCCTTCTCCATTTTGTGACCCTGCTGCTTTTTTCTCACAAACTGTCTTTCTCAGATGAGTTTTGAGCTCTTGAGATTCTGAAAAAAGTAGGGAGGGGTATTTGAAAGTAAGAAAAGAGATAACCTTGGATGGATTGTGGACAGGGGCAGGTAAAGCTGAAGACAAAAAATATGTTTTCTCCTCTTATGCCATTATCCTACAGTACCAGGAAAAGCAAATCTTGCAGGTTAATATCCTGCTCAGTATTTCCTTGTGTATGGAGGTGAAACCGGCATAGTGGCTACTGTGGTCTTCTGAGATGATGGTTGTGCCTAGCCAGGCATACAGCTCTCATCTTGTGCAACTGCAGCACCAGCTATTGAGCAAGCCACCCCGCCCCTCTAGACCATGTCTACTCGTGCCTAGGCAGGCATACAGCTGTCATCTTGTGCGACTGCAGCACCAGCTATTGAGCAAGCCGCTGGCCACAGGATTGCTGCCTAGGGCATTAGACATGCTAACTAAGCTACATTATCCCCCAATGGTCCAGTTTTAAAACAAAATCCAGATGATTTGCCAAATGCAGATTAAGGTCATTTTGAGTTAAAATAAAAAGATGGGGTTTCCCTCATAAGGCTACACTGATTTTAGATACAGAATCAGCATTCTATTTAGGGAGGCTCTCAGGTTCACAGTGATTGAAACACAGCTTGGTTGACCAGAGAGAGTTAACCTTTCCTATCCTTACATCACTTATTACCACCCTACCTCCCTGTATTGCACAGAAAGGGCCCTTTGGGATGTTCTCCCCACCACCACCACCACCTTGCATAGAATGTGTAGCACTTCATCCATGAAATGTTTTACCACAGTGAATTGATACAAGTGCAGAAAAGGTCAGGACGTGACCAGCTCCTCCTTACCAAGCTCCCATGATAGGAGAACAACAAATGGAACTTGAGTTCCGTGCAATGTTCTGTGTAATGTCTGATCAGGCTTCGGGGGAGCATTGAATCCACTGACTGAGAGACCTGAAACAAAGCCTTTTCCGTCTGACAGATTTGCTGAAGGGTCTCCGTCTGCTCACTAGGAAGGACTTTGCTTATTCATAAGCGCAGTCCTTGTTCAGTCTCTTGTTTCCCAGCTCAGAGGTCCAGAACAGAGGAAAGGCTGCACCAGAGCTATTATCTGAAGGAAGCACTACTTGAAACAAGATGATGGAGTTCTTTGGTCACAATGTCTACTGATGACCCACCCATTCACAAGACAGCCTACAGTGACCTTCTTATTAATATACTTTGTGCAATGAAACCTCTTGCAGCTTAATTTTTTGCAGATTAAACTTCTTGCTCCTTAAATTTCCACATGCATCATTTGTGTAAGTCACATATAGGAAATTATTCTGCTGGCTGAGAGCTAGATTTCTTTGAGGCCCTTTACTTGGGGCTGCATGCAGAACCGAAGCCAACTAAGCCCAAAGTCGGAAGGCCGACCTGTTTTCTTACTTCCTCTCTGGCATCAATTTTTCACTCTCTCTTCCTTCTTCCCTAACCTTGGATTGCCAGATGTTCTTGAACTAAATCTCCCAGAAGCCTTCACCACTATCTGTGCTGGTCAGGATTTCTGGGAGCTGTAGTCTAAGAACATCTGGGAAACCAAAGTTAATAACCACTGCTCTAGACGTGCTACTCTCGTCATCCTCACGCCATCTCTCAGGGATGTTTTGAATGTGGATTTCTTGCATTGGCAAAGGGTTGGAGCGTATAGCCCTTGTGACCTCTTCCAACTCTACTCTTGGGTAGTTCTGTGAATTGCTTGGATCCTCATGGATATCAGTGTTCTCATTTGCATAGAAAGGGATACAGAGGGATTCAATCTTACAACTACTTGTTCCTCTGTGCTGACAATGAATCTCTTTTTGCCTCCAGCAGGTTCTGCGTGTGCATCAGTTCTGTGGCCAGGTGCTTACTTGTTAAATTATCTGACCATGAACTGACAGTTTAATTGTGGCAGCAAGGACTATTACTGGAAATGAAAAGAATCAATTTCTGATTATAGTTTGTAATGAAGCTCAGCAGGGGCCTAATTTCTCCCCCTCCCTTTTTATAACAATTGATGCAAACCAACGGCGTTAATTCTGTACCATCTACTGGAGAGAAAGCCTTGGATGTTAATAATCTATGGTACACTCAGAGTTGCTCTTGGGTCACTGATCAAAGAAGAAAAGAAATCCTGCAATTTCACTAGTTGCTGAAGTGGTGAAATGGCTTGTGCTGGATAAATTTAAAATACATATTTTAAGAATTGGATTAGTACTTACTAGATTTCCCTTGGGTGATCCTGTTCTTTGGACTCCCAATTAATATCCATGCAATTATCACTGCTTCCCATCTCTTTCAGGTTGTCAAACCAGAGAGTAGGACTGAGAGACTGGAAGGAAAGAATGTAGGATTTAGATCCCAACACAAGAAATTCACCAGAAGAGTGTTCCATTTACTCCCTGTGTGGCAGCTTGTGACCTCTCAAAAGTCTCTCTAAAAAGTGGAAGGGCCCTCTTGAATCATGCCAGATAGGATATCGGTCTTGCTGGATAGAGCAGAGGGTGGGAAATTTTCATCCTGTGAATTTCCTTAAGGAAACATATTTTAGAGTTAGAAGCCAATTTTGTTGGATTCTCCCCTTCCTAAACAGTTTGCTACACTTCTTACGTTCTTAAGGAGGACTTCCAGAACTTCTGGAGAAACTTTTCAGGAGCTACAAGGGTAGAAAATGAGATAATTTATTTCTGTGTCCTTCATTAAGTTTACTGTCTCAGCCAAAGAGCCCCTTTAGAACTCAGCTGAAGAACTTCCAGTGGTGGTGGTCACCTTCGCAGCTCCTCTTTTGCTTCTCAAAAATCTGCCTGGTTCTGAGTGTCCATGGCTCAATAGGGGAGGACAGGCATAACACAAAGAAGGCTCCAGGTTCAATCCTTTGCCTCTCCCTTGAAAAATGGAAAGAAAAAAGGTGAGGTATCAGTGGTGGAAAAGTCCTCTGCTTGAAAGACCTTGGAGAACTGTCGACAGTCAAGTTAGGCAATACTGGGCTTGTGGGAGAAATAATCTCTGGCTATGCAGGTACCTCCCAGAATTCTGGTTGGCTTTTGATTACGTAAACATATAGGCAGTAATCTTTGTCGGTTTTCTTGCTGTTTTGAGTGCCACCGCAGAGTTTCTGAAGGAGGACTAAACATGTAATACAGAAGTAAGCAACTTGGGACTAAATATACCACTAGCAACAGAAAACAGTGAACTAGTAGATTTCTTCTGCTGGATTTTCCAGTTTTGCAAATGGTAGTACAGGGGTGCAGTAGTGGACTGACATGTTGGAAAAGGTAATCCACACTGGCATCATTATTATTATCTCTACCCGCCAGAGAATTCCACCAGATATTTATCTGTATATATGTTTGTTAGAAAAAGATAGACACTGTCTTCAGTTTGGATATTTCTAGAAGGTGCCTAGTTCTAACTTCTGATGTTTCCATAAGGAGGGAAATAGATCTTCTATACACAGTGATCCCCAGCAGAAATCACCCATATCTAAAAAAACAAATACGCAGATTGAGAAATCAGAACTTTAGTTTTCAAACCACTTTCCACAAATGAGCAATATGATAGCTAAATATTTTAAATAGTTTAAATGTTTTAGATGACAAATAATTTTCTGTCATTTTATTTTCTGTTATTTCTCATCAGGACTGGGAATTTCCACATTTCATGGGTGATGTTGATGTAAATCTTCCCGGCTTGCCTGCTGCACACTTTCAGTTTAAGTTGCCTTATTTCAAAAGGATTTTTAAGGAGGAGTATCACATACATATAACAGGTACGTAACAATAGACATCTGGCTGCAGGGCCAGAAGGTCAGAGTTTGATTCCCCACTGTGCATCCCAGAAGAGCCAGCCTATGTAGTGTTCGGCAAGCTTCACAGTCGTAGGGTGCCCCCAGAAAAAGGAATTTCTGGCTACTCTGTAACTAGAAAAACCCTTAAGTTAGAACACACTTGACAGCACACTGTTATTATTATTATTTAACATTCATTGGTTACCGCTTCTGCATGATAAATCTTTGTAAAATAAAATAAACGTTATTCTGAACTACTACAATCCAGAAATCAACCACTGCATTATACAATTTCTTCAGAGATATATAATTGTATCTTATCCTTCTCATGCCAGAGGTTGGATGTCTATTTTCACTTGGGATTCAGCACCCATTAAGAAAGATGTAGTGGCTGCGGTCCTGCTGCTTAGCATATTAAATTATACTAGAGTAACCCATTGAATCAGTGGAGATTTAGTGAGTTAATTCCTCCTCAAGCTTCATTGATTCAAATGGGCCTACTCTAGCTGAGAGTTACTTTACTATCTAGAGTAGACCTAGTTGACTCAATGGAATTTACAGAGGATTTGATTCACCAAATGCCCATTGATTCAAATGGTCATACTCAAGTGCATCTTACTATGCTAAGAAACAGGATTTCAGCCAGTGTGTTTTGCATTCAAACCAGTCTCCCATCTCCTCCTGAACCTCCCATTTTTTATCATCAAAGACTGCCTGAAATATATAGTGCTTCTAGAAGCAGAATAAAAAATGCAATTTTTCCTGACATTCAAGAGGAGAGAGAAAGATATCCTGCAAATAACAGGATTGAAAAAACAGTTCTTAATGTTAAGCACTGTTTCGAATTTCAGAGTCTTTGGGGTTTGGAAAAACTGGACATTAATTGTGCCAGTGCAATTAATATGCTCATTTTTCATGTTAGATAGTAGCTAAGGGGAAGCCTGTGCTCCCACTCAATCTACCATAGGAAAGGACAAATTCAGCTCCCAGTAGTAACACTTGGAAGCTTGTTTTGGAATTCAGATAGTCACTTGGTTCTCAACAGGTCCCAATCCTATGAGAGACAAATGAAATTATTGGAAAAAATGGCAAAAATTGAATAAGTGTCATTTCAGTTCAGTTCTCCCATTTGTTTCTTACAGGAATAACTTATGTAACTAATCATTGTTTAGCAAATTAATAATCTTGCTATAACCATTATGTATGATTAGGAGCAACTCAGAAAGCTCTGAAAGTTAAAAGACTTGAAAACTAATCCAGGATCTTAAAGCAGCCTTGATAATAAAAATGCTACCAAACAGCTGTCTATTTTGCACTGAGAAGCTTGTGAGCTTGAACTGAGTAGCTCTGGGTTTATTCTCAGGGTTTTATAATTCCTAGAATTATATTTCTACCTTTCCAGGTTCTGGATCCTATTGACTGCACTAGATGAAATCTAACACCATCATATCACTTGATAATCTCAATTTGAAAGTCCCTAGAACCTCCCTCCTCAATTATATCCCAAGGCACTATAGAGTCTCCCACCTTCCTTCATAAATTTATTTATTTACAATATTTTTACCCTGGCTTTCTCCTTAAAAGGACCCATAAACTTTAGTAACACCCCGAGACATGTGCTCTCAAAACCTTGCACACCATTATGGTTTTAAATCTTGAAAACTGTCAGTCAAAATCTCAAAACTGTAGAAACCTTAGAAGATGTCATCTGTTTTTAAATTTCTTTATACATCTCATTTCATTCAACCATCGTAGTCCTGAATGTTGCTGCTTCTCCATTTCCAAGAAGTTCTTGATCTTTAACAGTTATGCAGCAGTTCTGTATAATAGAGTCCTCTTCATGCTGTGTGCCTACTGGATTTGGTACAGGGGGGTTGGGTGGGGTGGGGAATTTGTTTAGATCTATTTTTAAGACTACCTGAAGACTCAAGTTTATTTATATTTGTGGTGGAAAGAACTTGAGCTTTAAAAGGCTTAAACACAGAGAAATGTGTAGCTGATCAATACAGTTGTCCCAAGGTTTCTCCCTGGGTGGGGGCATGGGACAAGAGATGGGTTGTGGGGTTTTTTTATTTTGGATTTTCTTGCTTGAAGAAACCATAATTCTCCATTCATGGAGTTCTACTGAATGTGATGGACTTGGGAGGAAAGCCTAAATTAGAAGTCGTAGCTCCACCCAAGCTTCCTCCTCAGAAGAAAGCTCCTGGATAGTATAGGGGCAAGAACAGGAAGATCAGATGAAGTTAAGTTTAGCTAAACTTCAAAGCCTCCCGATTAATGGTTGTTGTAAGTTTTTCAGGCTTGGCCCTGTTCTGGAGGCTTTTCTTCCAAACGTTTTGCCAGTCTCTGTGGGTGGCACCTTCAGAGGACAGGAGTTAGAACTCTGTGTTCTTCCAATTAAGTTCCTTCTCCTAGGTGCAGTACATTCAGATGTTTGTAAGGTATGACTGGTATGCTAGCATGAAAGGACATAGGTAGCCTGTATGAAATTAGTTCTCCTTTATGTACTGGCTGAATGATTGGGGTATGTGTGTTATATATACCCTCTTAACATGTAAAAAGTAACATATGGCAATGTAAGCCTGGAAATCAACAGTGTAAATTGCACTGTTTAAAAGTGTTACTAATTAAAACAGCAAAGATATATTAAAACTTTTTATGGTCAACGTAGCACTCTAAATGAGGTAGGAAGCGCCGTGGCAGCGCGGATAATTTGGCCATGAAGGAAATACAGTGGGCAGTGAGATAAATTATTATGGCAGTCCGAATGCATAGTTCTTTATTTTCATTACACAGGCCTCTTCAAAGCAGACTGTCTATGATTGGCCGCTGTTCATAACCTGCATTTTCTTTCTCCAGAGCAAATTGATGGAGTTTTTTTTTTTAAATTATTTCTTTTGGTGAAGGAGATAATTTAATAGGGGAACAAACACATGAATAGAGAATGTGGACCTCCCCCCCATCTCTAGCTCAGAATTAATAAGTTCTATTTATTAGATTTGCTACATAAATCAGCCTATTTGAATGCATGTCACATCACTGGAATTGCAAAAGCCTGCTGTATCTCAGCGCTGTGCCATTTTTAGGAGAATCATAAAGAGCATCAAGTCAGCATGAGAAATTCCCTATGGGTGGGCTTTCCTGGGTCCATCTGTTCTTAAATCAATGCTTGGTTTTGAGCTTTGTCCCTAAACTTTGGAAATTTATAAACTGTTAATTGCAGGCGCAATGATTTTTAGAGTTTATTTCAAGGAGACAGAGAGAGGGAATCCAAAAAAAAAAAAAAAACAACCCAGGAAAATATGATGAATAACTGAAAACAACACAGTCTATCAGCAGTTCCTATTATGTTGTAGATCTTTGTCACTGATTTTTGTTTTATCCAGATGTTGCAAAAGTTACTTTTTTGAGCCATATCCCCAGGACTACCCAAACCTGCCTGACCATTGCTTTTGTCAAAACTGCAGCTTCCATTCATGAAACATACAGTGTAGCCTTATGGGTTCATTTTAGAAGAATTTCAGAAGATCAGTAGCCTTCAACTGTGAATCATGGGAAACTATGGGTTGTTTTGAAAGAAATAGGAGTGCCTCAGCACTTGATTGTCCTGACCTCTATTAGGACAGAATAGAGACAGACAGAATGGTTTCCTATAGGCACAGGTGTCAGACATGGATGCATTTTATCCCTTTTTCTGTTCAATCTGTATGCAGAACATTTCATACAGAAAGACTAGATGCAGGTGAAGGAGGAGTGAAAATTGGTTGAAGAAGCATCAATAATTTAAAAATTCAGATGACACCATCGTACTGGCAGAAGGCAGCAGTGACTTGAGACAACTTTTATGGAACATGAAAAATCAGGTACCACAGCAGGACTGCATTTTGAATGTTAAGAAGACAAAATTCATGACTACATAAGAACGACACAACTTTAGCACTTGCAATGAAGAAATTGAAATAGAGATTTTGTATACCTTGGTTCCATCATCAATCCAAATGAAGATTGCAGCCAAGAATCAGAAGAAGACTGACTAGGAAGGGCAGCAATGAAGGAATTAGAAAAGATGATCAAGCGTAAGGGCGTGTCACTGGAGATGAAGACCAAGATCATACATACTCTCATATTTCTAATCACCATTTATGGGTGTGAAAACTAGACAGGAAAAAAACTGACAGGGGAAAAATGATTTCTTTAACATATGGTGCTGATACCTTGGATTAGCAGAAGATGAGCATGTGGATACTAGAGCAAATCAAGCCTGAAGTATCTCTCGAGGCAAAAATGTTGAAACAGGGGCTGTTCTATTCTGGGCACATCATGAGAAGGCAGGATTCTCTAGAAAACTCAAAAAGGCTGGGAAAGGTTGAAGGTAGGAGAAAAGGAAGACCAAATACAATGACTCCCTAAAGAAAGCCACAGTCTTGAGTTTGCAAGAACTGAGCACAGGTGTTTTGGACAGGACATTTTGGAGATTTCTCATTCATAGGGTCACCGTAAGTCAGAGGCAACTTGGCAGCACATAACAACAGGGTTGTTGTTGTTGTGTGTGTGTTTTTTTTAACTTCATGCCTTCTCTCCCAGAACAACAGCCATTCAAAGACCAAACCCAACAGTCTTTTAAAAAACATTCCATGAAGAGATTGGTAGCTGTTGCTCCTGAATGATCTTCTATTTATTTGGAAGAAATAGCTGTGCATTGTTTCCAGATCCTGAACCAGGGACTCAGTGTTGACATGACAATAAGTTGGTTGGGTCTTTAGAGCTTTGCAAGGTGTCCTGAAAGAAGTCATCTGAGGTGCAGAGTTGATTTACAGACCTGGATACAAACTGGGGTGTGTCTTCCTATGTGTTCTGTATGTCTTCCATAGGGAAGTGAACATCTGGCAAGTCTTTGGTTTGGAAGCAGGTCACTCAGAAGCTCTCATGAACACTCAAGAACTTCATTTGGTCCCCCCCAAATATCAACATTTTCAGAGAAA